CCACGGCAGCTCCTGCACTGCCTCGCCAGGGCAGGGTATATATAGCCAGGAGCCCTGCCCAGACCCTTGCTCCGGACACTCCTGTCCGCTATCGCTGCACCACCCAACACCAACACTTGCGGTGTGTTTATCAACGCAACCGCCCTGATTTTGCCTCCTTACCCGGCTCTTCAGCCGCTGGCAAACTGGCCAGTACCTCTGATACCGACAGCAAGTATGAGACATCCGATAAAAAGCAAAAGTCTGTTGTTATCAAGAAGCTAAAGTGTTTTCTCTTGCCTTCCGCACCAGCTTAATCTTTCCAGAGAACAAAGGCAAAACACACCCTTTATAGCAAATGGAAATTTATGATGCTGGTGGTGTTCTTTTGACCTATCCAGGCAGCCAAGGAAGTGCCATGAAGCAGCAGTCTGTCTTCCATCCAAGTCTGCAAACTGTGTTACATGCAATTCCCTCCACACAGCTAGCAGAAAACAGCAGGGGTGTTTTTCAGCCCAGCTCCAAGCCTCCAGGCACCAATGCGTACCCCCAAAAATGCCTGTCTTTCCCGGCATTTGTCCTTTTGTCATCCTGCCCCTTCTTCCCTCCAGCTCTGCCAATATCCCCAGAGAAGCTGAGATGGGGGCTGGAAACTGCTCACTACAGCAGCCCTGGAAGACATAACAGGCTTTTACCTGCCCAGTTACAACCATTCAGCCATCTCCAAAAGACCCTTTGATTTCCTGCGGTTTATTATCCATGTCAGAGTTACGCCGAGGACGCGTAGGATGCGAGTCACGCCGAGGTCACACGCCTGGTGCATTAGAGGCGATGTCTCCCACACGCTTTGAGTGATGCTGGGCGTACCCAGGCTGGAGAGATGCAGGGGAGCATGTATTTAGGCTCTCATTCGCAGGGGATTTTTAGTCCCAGGAGACCTTTTCCTCCCCTGGGAAGGTGCTACCAGCCAGACAGCCCTGCCAGTCCCTGCCAGGGCACCGGGGACCCATCCTGGTATCTGCTACCCCGAGGATGCTGCTCAGCCTCGTACCCCGAAGCCTGGGCACCCCCCACCTGCAGAAACTCTGCCATGTGCTGCCGGGGAACCGTGATTGTCCCCACGTCCCCATCACCCTGGAAGCCTCATCTGCACTTGCCAGTGGCTTCATCTCCCACGGAAAACCTGAGGAGACAAACATGGGAGGTTTTCTGTGCAAAGCCCTCAGCACAGGAGCTCTGGCTGGACCGAAAGGCCGAGGCTGCTCAGACCCCTCTGCCCGGGGGTCGTCGCTCTGGGCCAGCTCCACCGTAACCACGTGCTTCAACACGTATCGCTTCGAGCACCCGCCACACGCTGTGGTTCTGCTTCCGTTGCGCTGGGACCAAAACCTTTGTCCAGATCTCAGCTGGCCCCGCCGGGATCACCAACATACGCACCCCAGGGAGCAGGCAAAGAGGAGCCAGCGCCGCTCTCCCCGGGGTCGGGCAGGAGCAGCCCCGCTGCCCTTTGCTGTAGGGCACTCGCAGACTCCCCAGTCCCCCTAAGAGTGGGGATGGCCCCCAGCAGAGCCTCGCTGCTCCCGTCGAGCTGCCAGCATTGGACCGGTACTTCGAGCCTGTGGCAGCTCAGGAAAGCCCCCAGCATCCTTCCTCCTCCATCGCATCCTGATGGATCTGCCTTTGCTTGGACAGATCCTGCCAGGAGCAAAGGGAAGAGCAAAGACCAGCAGGGACATGGTCAGCCTTCGCCTGTCCCGTCTTGCCACCGCTGCTGCCAGAGCGGCTTCAGCTTTCAGAAACCTCCCCATTTCATAGGGGAGGAGAAATGCCCTTCCGTGCTATCCACGCTTGCCTAATCTCCGTCCCGCTGTGCTTAGCTTGTGTCAATGTTTTGACACAAAGCACTGAGGAGTTTGTGTCCTTTCTCTGGTGAAATGACAGAGCTATTAATATATCTGCTAAAGAGTTCCAATGATAAAGAGTTTCCGTGCTGGTTTTGGCTGGGATAGAGTTAATTTTCTTCATAGTAGCTGGTAAGGGGCTATGTTTTGGATTTGTGCTGAAAACAGTGTTGATAATACAGGGATGTTTTAGTTACTGCTGAGCAGTGCTTACACAGAGTCAAGGCCTTTTCTGCTTCTCACCCCACCAGCAAGAAGTTGGGAGGGGATGCAGCCAGGACAGCTGACGCCAGCTGACCAAGGGACGTTCCATACTATATGATGTCATGCTCAGCATCTAAAGCTGGGGGGAGAAGAAGGAAGGGGAGTCGTTTGGAGTGATGGCGTTTGTCTTCCTAAGTCACTGTTCTGTGTGACAGAGCCCTGCTTTCCTGGAGACGGCTGAACACCTGCCTGCTGGTGGGAAGTGGTGAATGAATTCCTTTTGCTCTGCTTGTATGTGAGGCTTTTGCTTTCCCTATTGAACTGTCTATCTCAATCCATGAGTTTTCTCACTTTTACCCTTCCGAGTCTCTCCCCCATCCCACTGGGGGTGAGTGAACGAGCGGCTGTGTGGGGCTTAGTTGCCAGCTGGACTGAAACCACGACAGTTTCTAAGAAACAAGCTTTGATCCCAGGAAAGAGCCGTGTTACCTGAGCCTCCCCCAGCCAAGGTGTTCCCGTTCGGCCGATTCCCGATACTCCGGCTGTTGTTTTACCTGACTGAGTAGCCCTGCTTCAGGATTTAGGAGTCATTTGGATGTCATGGCTAACCTAACCTGGCCTCATAGTCCCACTTTGACTTAATCACGGGACTTTGTTAAACCTTATCCAGCTGCCAGGAGGATTAGTGGCTTCTCACACGCACTTCTGATGCGGTTTCCCTCTTGCTGGGCATCAGGACAGAGGCGGGGACCGACTGGCTTTATCCTCAACCGGTCAGAGCGATCGGTTCAGCCCTGCAAGTACCAGCAGCAGCAAAAGATAGGACAGCGTGTCCCTGCGGTCACTCCAAGGTCACCACAAACTGCAAGCAAAGCAATGTCCACCGCCACCGGCTAACTCTGTGTTTGCCTGAGTAGGTGCTGGTGAGCATCTCCCTGACGTGACTCGGCGCAGCCCGGCAGCAAGCAGCGGCTGGAGGAGGACGAAGCCGTTACCACCCCGTTAAGGACTTGCACGGCATTTCCAGACACACGCCGGTGCTTGATGGCACACAGCACAACTGGTTTTTGGGGAATCCCTCAGGGGACTCCTGTCCCCGGGGCTGTGGTTGATGTTTAAGACTGACCCCAGTGACAGTTTTGGTGTCCCAATCCCCTGCACCGCAGCCTGGCACATGGTGCTTCTCACCTGCAAAGCAAAGCTCTTGCAGGAATCAGGCTCAGGACACTCATTCTGGGCTTGTCCCTCGCTGAGGACAAGGAGGACAGAAGCGGGGTGCAGCCAGGCCCTAAAGCAGCAGCTGGGATTTGGGGGACGGCAGCTGCCTGCTTTCCAACGCACAAGGTCTGCAGCCCCCAGCCGAGTCGCACAAGCCTCGCAGAGGGGATGGAGCCCCTCAGTAATTCGCTGTAGATAAAGGTCTTTACCTCAGCGGTCCCACAGCCGCTAAGGAGTCGACAGCGTGTCGTACCCCTTCACAAGAAACATAAATACATCAACTTTAGATTTGAAGCAGCCCAGGGACAGCTTCCCCACCGCTTTCCCCATGCTGACTCTGCAGAAAACTGCCTACGAGTTTATCACGGCGTTCACCTTGCTGGAGAAAGTGTCTGAGACGTGCAACCCAGCAGTCGTCACTCAAACAACTCAGAAGGTCAGAGATAATTTGGGATGTTGGGGTTTATTTGTAACGGGAGACTCTGAGAAGAGACTTACACAGAAATCCCGGAGGTACAGGGAGCCATGCAGGCACGTAAAGGAACGTAAAGGTTCATAGGAACCCCATGGCGCACCAGCAGTGCTGGCTCGGGTGTGTTTGGCCAGGAGAGGGGCTGGATTTTGCTGCTCCACTGCTCTATGCCGAGGGGGCGAAGCCGATGCGGTTGTTAGCTATGTCAAAGATGGTGTAATACTCCTTGAGGAAGACGTCACCCAAGATCCAGAGCGGCTGCCCGTTCTGGGAAGGCACGTAGGTAGCCTCAATCCCCAGAGTGCAGTAGCCATT